TTTCAGCCAATCAGAGCGCGCGTTATATGGAAACTTTATTATAAATAATTATACGGCTCGCGTTTTGCACATAGACTTCGTCTGCGCTCTTGCCATTTTCTTGCGTGCTTTATAATGGGAGAAAAGAAGAGGCTTTCTTATTAATTGGTAAACATTAAACACGCTAGACTTGCGAAGAATTCAGGGCAGTTCGTGAGTAACATGTTTGATATGGACGAGTAGCTAGGGAGTACTGATCTGTCCTTGAAATTTGACCCTCGCCGGCGATCAAAAGGTGGTCTTCGCGCGGAAATTTCACATTATGACACCAAAATCTGATTGGCTAGTCTCTACATTCCTCAAATTCATTCAGGCATATCGTCTTTCCCGTGGCGAATTCCCTGAGCTTCTGTTGTCGCTTTTCTTCAGCCATAACATCATTCCTGGGACAATTTTTCTTTCCTTTGATCGTTCGTTTACCTTTGCTAGTACGGTGTGAGACGAACTGACGCACTGAAGACTTTACTGTTCGATCAAAGAGGGTAAATTTCTGTGAAAGCACTCACCGCTGGAATCTTGACAACTCAATTCAAGGTGGTTGTAATTTTCATGCTTTGTGCAAGATCGGAGCTTCTGTCTAGATAGTTTGGTCCAAACTCTGCGACAGTAATTCGTTCTCTTACCTCTTCAAGGCAAAGGTTAGTTACTTCGCTTAATATGTTCAAAACGCAGCCTTCTTTAAGTTTGCTACACTTCGCTAACCCGGTGGCGAGTGATTCTTATCTGCGCGTCTTTGCATGACACACGAAGATGTCTCATACGTTCGTGACCCTCTGAAAAGATTTCTGTTTGATATTTATGCAGCAATAGAAGTCTGAAAATAACTGATGAAACCTAGAGATGCAACTTGGCTGATGAGCTATTTTCGTATTTCGTAGGATCTTAGCTTTCGGAAGAAGAAGATTCTCGACTTTGAGTTGTGGGTGGCACGTACAAAACATTTGTTTTAGCACTTCACAGAGAAGAAAATCCTCCTGGCTTTCCTGCACGTGGGAACATAATGGCAAAGTTTTGGAGAATTGCTTCGATTGTACTGCTTTGTTTAGGTGAGCTTACATCTTAGATAACATAAATAGCGCTGTGTATTTCATCTTTGTGTGTTTTTAATCAATCGAATATTTTCCCGTCGTTTAATACCGCGCGCTCATCCGAAACTTTTATTGACATCACATGAATGTTGTTCAAGACGTCATGTCGATGTATGCCTACACCGATTTTTTTCTATAGTTAATTTAATTTATCATCTGTCTAAACTGACTTCATGCGAGTAATTTTTAATAGAAACTCTTAAATAAACTCTCAAATATTATGTTATTAGCGGCGGTTTAGTTTTGGCTCTGTTGACATTATGCCATGGGAGCGGTATTTTGGAATTTAGTGGTTTCCTCGGGTCGTTCACGCCCTGTCAACGAAGCGGACCATTTTGCTTCAAATGTCAAAACACTTTGTCGCTAAAAATAAACAGATAGTGTGTTTGTGGCGAAATTCTCTTGTCGTGTAAACTGCATATTGCCCAGTACCCTTAATTTGCACCAAAAGAAATCTCAAAAATTACATTGTGCCGTGTTTTGAAACTTGTTACAAACACAAATGTGCTGTGGGCTGATTGTAAATCGTTAGTTTAACCTCCGATTTTGGGAAATTTAAATAACTCGCGATCCAGCTTTTGTTGGACCTTACATAGACAATCAGATAAATGATAGCTTAATTGGCTAGACAATAATCATTGATCAGAGTTTATTCCCCTAAAATAACTGCAGAAAAATTAAACCTTTGTAGAGAAAATTAATAGTTGTTAAGATACTTCGTTAAAGTGGGAGCAAAAATTGCCAATCGGCAACATAAACAGAATACATTTGAGAGTACGCTGACTTTCCAGAGGCCAATGGAGCAAAGAAGAGCTACGTTCGACCAAGTTTTTGAGACGTTTTCCATGAGTTGCTTGCAGTTTACATTATTTATAAAGTAACACTTTTTCAAATTCTTTCTTTGCGCCTCGCTTCCTAGCCCAGTCAGCAAATCACTGACCTGGCCACGTCTTTTTAACTACAGAACTGTACTTCTGTTAGTTAAACCCTTTTCCAATGAGGTTGCTCTTGGGATAGCTGGAAATTATGCAGTCTAACAAAGTAGCACCGTCGACTAGCACTCTACTAGAACATAAGTGCTAACATTTGTTTATTATTTATTTATTTATTTATTTTGTCATTTAGTTTATCAAGTTATCAGTCAAAATGGCAACACCCAATGTGACAGGCGTAGTTGTTACCCAGCCACTGGGGACCTTTTGATTGGTCGTGCTGATCAGCTGATAGCCTCCTCAACATGCGGCATGGATGGTCCCGAGGACTACTGCATTGTGTCTCATCTTCAAGATAATCCAGAGGAGTGTTTTGTCTGTGACGCGACTATTCCAAAGCTAAGCCATGAACCGAGGAAAATGATCTCAAATTTCAATGGAAGAACAGAGAAGACCTGGTGGCAATCACAAAATATCAAAGAAGATGTGTACCTTCAGGTAAGTAAGTGCTACGCTGAAGATGTTTTTCGGTAAGCAACGTTAGCATGTGGAGTGTGTGTATCGACGCAAGAAATATTGGGTTATTGACCAAGACAGAGTCGAAGTCCAAAACACACAAAAAAAGAATGAGGCCAATATCCAGCCATCTTGACCGAACAAGCTTGCCCAGCAAATGATTTACTATATGGAAAAGAGACACCATTTTCTTGCAGGACACAGCGGGTAATCCCAAGTGGGCAACATAGCCCCATGTTACATTCTTGGATAGCCAATCACAGAACAGGATTCGGTTCATCTTACCCACTCATGGAGCTAGCCATATAATAAAGAGATTATGCATGTTACCACGTAAGGAAGGAATTGCTACAGTCTGAGTGAATGAACATATAACAAATTAATGGTATTAATTGTCAATTTGAATTATGCACATTTTAGGTATGCATAAGTGGAGTAAAGTCTGAGTTGAAGCCTAATTGGCTATCATAGCATGAAGTGATTAGGAGCATATTTACTCCCCCCTGGATGGAATGTTAGAAGGGCTACCTCCTTTATTGCCGGTACCCATTTTCTGGATATTAATCCATTGGTGGGCCCAAGGGCAAAGTCTAGTTCCTTGTCTTGTCCAAGAACCACGATGACCCAAGCATGTTACTGTGCTTCCCATGCACGTACATGTAAATAATAATAATCATGATTATTATTAATAATAATCATGCAAATATTTACTCTATTGTCTATGACTGTTGACAGCTTGATCTGGAAGCTCAGTTTCACTTTACTCACATGGTAATGACGTTCCGCACATTCCGTCCCGCTGGCATGGTTATTGAACGGTCATGGGACTATGGCAGAAACTGGAATGTTTATCGATACTATGCTGCAGACTGTAAGCAGACATTCCCTGACATTCCAAATAGGCCACAGGAAGATGTGGATGATGTTGTGTGTACAGAGGATTTCTCATCAGTAGAACCATCGTCAAATGGAGAGGTTAGTCTAGAATTTAGTACCTTTGACAGAGACTTACATGCATGAATCAGTGATGAGAAAGCAGGGCCTGTGGGTTGACAGAGAGGTACTGTGAGGGATAACAGTATAACCCAAGAATGTACATGTACCACAGTATCTCTGGTTGTGCAAGGTTTGAATCAGGTCACTTGATTCTGCCCTCCCTTGTCAGGGCTCTACCACCCTGATTGAGTGGAAACCAGGGTGTGGAGAGAGGCACTTGAGTCTACAGTGTGTCTTCGAAAACCACAACACCACATCTCTTGATAAGAATGTGCTGTTCCAGAAACTAATGATACCCACCCATGGAAAGTTTTTGGAAATTCTGAGGAAGGGAGTGGAAATTTTTAAGGATTTTAAGTTTGAACCTGGGCGGCTAACCAAGAACCTTTCTTGTGGGGTGTGGAAACAACACGATTTATTATCATTTGCAAGTAGCTTTGAGACCTTCTTAATCCTTTGGTGTTAGGTCATCTTCAGGGCACTTAATCCTCAAATCCCAGTGAAGAACCCATACAGTGAAAAAGTCCAGAACTTGCTGAAGGTGACCAACATACGGATCAACTTCACCAAGCTACACACCCTGGGAGATCTGGTACTTGATCCAACCAAACCAGAAGCCAGACTTAAGTACTACTATGCAGTGTATGATCTGGTGATTCGAGGAAGCTGTTCATGTTATGGACATGCTGAGCAGTGTCTTCCACTGCCAGGAGAACCTGATACTCCTGGAATGGTGAGCGATATGTTGTCTTATACGTAGTGACCAGGATTATAGTCTGAACTTGAAAAAGTGGATGACCAAAGTTTTTATGAGGTTAATGTACAGTGTAGCATCCTCCAACAGGGGTTGGGGGGGAGGGGGGCAGAGGGGAGGTTATGGCAGGATTTGAGCATGGAAGGTCTATTTTTACAGGGATCAAAGATGTAGGGGTCAAATCTGTTGGAAGACATAAATTTGCTGAAAACTCTCAATCCAGCAGTTCATGTCAATTTTCTTTCAGTGTGAATGTGGATGCCTAAAAGCCCAAGGTGGGCAATAATACACATTGTTACAGACTGGAAAAATTGAACATTATATTTAACAGCAGTTGAAGTCACTAGATGTGGGACTTATATCAATTTACAGTGTTCAGTAGTAAAATATGGCTGTTAACTAAGGCCCTTGACTGTCTGCCGTATTTTGGTCCCAAGGAATTCATTCACTATCATTGTAAAATTTCAAACAGTGTTTAGTTTCCAGTTTCCTTTCTTGAGCTGGTTGCTGATTTGTAAAAGGGAAACTTTAGTGTATAATATATCACTAACAGTATATTAAGTCATTCCTCCAAAAATAATTACCTTTTAGACATATGTATCATAACTTACAGTAGAAGTAGCTGTGAGTTTCTAAACATGTTAAGTGTTCATTCACACCCACATTGTACATTTCGACTCAATTGTAACTTTATAAAAAAAATAAGAATATATAAAATAAAATACGCGATAAATGAAAATTATAAAAGAAAAACTTAAAATAGCAATACAAATCCTATTAATGAAATGAACACATTCAAGAATACAGATTACAAAATTAGTATCTTTTTTTCCAACAGGTACACGGACAGTGTGACTGTGCTCACAACACAGAAGGAAAGAACTGTGAGCGTTGCAAAGCAGGTTATAATGACAGACCATGGAGACCTGCAACTGCTGAAGACTCCAATGAATGTAGAAGTACGTGTTTTTTTGATAAAATGGTCCCAGTTGTTTGAAAGGTAGATAAATCTATCTACAGGAAAAAAATCACTATCTAGTGGATAGTGATTTTTTTCCGGTACACGGTAAATCAGGTACACGGACAGTGTGACTGTGCTCACAACACAGAAGGAAAGAACTGTGAGCGTTGCAAAGCAGGTTATAATGACAGACCATGGAGACCTGCAACTGCTGAAGACTCCAATGAATGTAGAAGTACGTGTTTTTTTGATAAAATGGCCCCAGTTGTTTGAAAGGTGGATAAATCTATCTACAGGAAAAAAATCACTATTTAGTGGATAGCGTGGTTTGGTCCACTGGATAGCGATATACCCAATGGATGGTGTTATCCACTTTTCAAGCAGCCCGAGCCAGTTCTGTTGACTAGACATTGAGCAAGCTCTGTTTATGCTTCTATTCTGACTAGTACAATGTAGTTATTTCATCTGGTGCCAATAACAGACCACTCATCCAATTTCGTGTACTAAGAATAAAATGTGTTATTATAAATCAAATATTAGTCTACCGTTAATAAGGTTAGTACCTCCAAGCATTTTTTTGGCGTACCGTAGGTTGCCTTGAAAAGCTTTTTCTGAATGCATTAACTACTAGTCTACTACATGTACTGTAAGTAGAGAATGGCACCACAAGAATTTAGTTTTTAGTACAGCCCTGGACACAACACAGTGAACCCGAGCTATGTCCAAACCCAGATAGTCCAACCCAGAGACTGACATGCTTTCCATTTAATCAACATTGCAGGGTGTGACTGTAACGGCCATGCTGAGGAATGCAGGTTTGATCCTGCTGTATTTGCTGCATCTGGTAATGTTAGCGGCGGTGTCTGTGTCAGCTGTCTACACAACACTGTCGGCCGCAAGTGTGAGAAGTGTAAGCCATTACACTTTCAGGATCCTAGCAAGGACTTCAGGGATCCAGATTCTTGTATCCGTAAGTTCTGTCACTGGTAGATCATGTCTAGATGTAAAATAAATTGTGTAAATTTTGATTCCTACACAAGTATTACTGGAGTTCCTGAACCACTTTATTTCGCAATTCTGAATATGCATACAGGAATAGGAAATTAAGAGAGGTTGTGTGGTGCACCTTACCAGGACATCTGGTAATTAACAATGAGAACTTTTCCTTAGAAAGATATTTTAAAAAAAAAGTCAGCTGAGATGTTTAAAGTCGTCAGGCAAAATAAGGTGTCACACTATGACAATTTGGCAACAATTGACATTAAATAAAGTGCCTGCATTATCAATTATAATGTGGAAACGATTCATCTGGTACAGGTTTGTAATTTATCCATTTGGTACTTTTGTTTTCAGCGTGCAACTGTGATTCTGTGGGAGGGGTGAGTGGAGGAGAATGTGAGGGGAAAAATGACCCTGAAGCAGGCTTGGAGGCCGGCCGCTGTATTTGTAAGACAAATGTTGACGGACAAAGGTGTGATCGTTGTAAACCAGGATTCTGGAATTTAAGAAGAGATGATCCTGATGGATGTAAAGGTACATTGTGTAAAATAATTTTGTTGTCAGGGCTGTCGTAACACCTGTCGCAGCCGAATACAGTGTTGTAGGAGAAATTGTCATTGTTGATATAGGTTGTTTACCATTTACATGTATCATTTGCTATGAACATCGCTTTTTATTTGGCACTGAGTCATTACTTGCTATTTACAACTTTTGAACTGTTTACCATTTACTTTATTAACAGGACGCGTCAAATCCCAAATGAAATGTCCACGGGGACGCGCTCATTACATTTCCACGACTTTTTTCCCGAGAGATAGGATAAGAGGCGATCCAAGCCAAAAGGGCTGGAACTAGTAAAAACTAACAAATGCAACGCACATTTTCCATTTGGAAATTCCGTTTGGGAATATTGGTCTACCTTTCAAAAAATCTCTTTTGTCCGAGAAAATTTTCGTTCGGGAGACAAAATTTATCTTTCCATTTACATTCCATCCGATGTTTCCGGTTTTTTGGGGTAAAAAGTAAACAACCACAATTTTCCTAGTCTGTGCACGGAAGTTTATTTTTTCCCTACGAGTTGTTTTTCTTCGAGCGAGCGCGCGCGCGCGCGCGCGAGCGTTCCCCAGCCCCCGCCCCCGTTTCATATCCCACGCGTGGGGTTAATATTTTGCTAAGCTTGCGAACTCGACGAAAATGTTACGAGGGTCTGTAGACAGACAACAATAGTTCCAAAAAGCAAAACGTTTGTTGCGGGTGTGAAGATCAAGGCATCAAGTGACTCAAAACTTATTGGCAGCCCTGGTATGTTACGCTAATCCCTCGTGTTTTCCCATTCTTGGCGTTGACTGCATGCTTTCCTCTAAAAAAAAAAGAAAAATAAATGTTTTCCTGCACTTGGCTTCGTTTGCATATGTTGTAGTGTTTTCTTTTTTTTTTATTTATTGCCTTACTTTTGTTTCTTGTGATTCGTCAGATGTATAAACGTCAGCTTTGGTTTGGTTTGTCACGCACTCCTCACTCTGCAACGAGCTCGGGGAGGAATGCGTGACACGTAAAAAGAATGTGTGAGTAGGAAACTAGTGGCAGTCACGAAAGGGAATAACTTTCGTGGATTCTTACAAGTACAAACTACTTACGTATTCTTTCAGCTTGTGGCTGCAGCTCAGATGGCACCATTGGTGTCTGTAACCCAAAGGACGGCAAGTGTCTGTGTAAACGGTTTGTGATGGGAGCAAGGTGCGACCGCTGTCAGGTGTGTGTATGTAAACACATAGGAACGAACGTCAGCAGTTTGACTTTTACCTTACCGAAAAATTTTGAACGTTATCAACCGATCAGAAATTCTAGACTTTATAACATATACTGGCCAGTTTTCTAACGACGTCATGGATTGGTTGGAAAAATTGGCCTGACACATGCGCAGTATTGCTGGATTTCTCCAAAAGAAATGGCAGCCAAACTTTTACTTGAAAGCAGGAATGTGCTCTGTATGTTAAGGAAGCGTTCAGTGTATATATAGGTAACGTTTTGGGAAAAAAAGTAAATCAATTTTCGCCCCAAAAACATATCTGGCCATGTAAGTCATGCCTCACTGTACTCGTAGTTTTCGCTAGAAATCGTTTGCAAAAACAATTAAAGCTCATCACCTCAATCGTTTTATCGTCCTTTGAACAGATTCACCTCAGGAGAAAGAATGAAGACACGAAAGATAGTGTAAAAATCATTCTAGTGCATACAATAATGTAGATCACTGAAAACAGCCCTTTCAAATGAAAACTGAATTTGCTTTTCATCTAGCCTGGCTACTGGGGACTGGGCGGGAGTTCGTTCGGATGTGAATCATGTGAGTGTGACGTAGGCGGCTCGTACGAGAGGAACTGTGAACAAGTCAAGGGACAGTGTCGCTGCCGTAAGGGCATCACGGGAAGGCGTTGTGATCAAGTGCAGACAGGAAACTTCTTTCCCTTACCAGACCACTTGAAATACGAATCTGAGGAAGCAAAAATCGTTGGGGTATGTGCTTGATAATTTTAGCTTTCACTGTAATGGCAGACTGAAGTTAAAGTGTGTGTATATTACCTTGCGCCCTCGCATTTCAATAATGTTCGATCAGAGGGAAATAATGATTGGAATTATAAAATCTTTTCATCTAAGCCATTAGATTTTGTTTTTAATATTTGTCGCTCTAAAGAATTTGTCGAAAAGTGAAATGGCGGACTGAGCTTTTCTTCAAGTCAAAGTAAATTATTCGTAGTAACGTGGTCTTTGTATTTAAGTGGTCGTGTTACTGTACATGTATTTCGTTCATTAAATAAGTGAACTGTTTGTAGAGTTTAAGTGGAAGTATTGAAAGTAATCTCCGCGATAGCGACTTGACCTTTTAACCAACCAGCGACAGGCTTCAAGATACAATGCAAAACGGCCTCACGTTAAGTTTTTACCAATTTTATTCATAAGTATTATTCGTATTTCTCCTACAGGGAGAAACCAACGGTAAAGTTGTTTCAAGGGAGCCGAAAGCAGGTGATGTTGTCACGTGGACTGGTGATGGGTTTACAGAAGTCAAAGACAAAGCGACTTTGGAATATGCTGTTACTAATGTGCCTTACACTGGAGAGTACAACATCTTAGTGCGATATGAACCAAAGGTAGATCGTCTTTATTATTCCCGGAACATACCTCTTCATACCTCTCACAGCTTAGGAGAAGACTGTTCGATTCCTTTCATTTTAACATCTGAAAGAGAAACCACATTCAAGTGAAATTACTGCTCAATAGCTTTCATTTGAATGGTCATACGCTAAGGTTTCATCCACAGACTTAAAAGTTAGAACCTCCTTGTTTTCGTGGAAGCGTTTAGGAACAACTTCCTAAAATGTTTCACATTTCTTTTTGTTCCCCAGGATTCCGGACTGTGGAAAGTTGACGTCAAAATAGAGCGCATCGACGGGCTCCCCTTGACCAGCGGTAAATGCCAAAACGCAACTAATGCCCAGGACCCCGACTATGGGAACTTCTCGGCCATACTACCCACACCACGTCGTTATGTTCTTATGCTGCCAAGTGTTTGTATGGAGAAAGATGTGGCGTACGTAGTGAAGGTCACTTACAGCCGTGACGAGTCTAACAGAGATGGTGTGGGAAGTATCTTGACAGACGCGGTAAGTTACCTTACCAGGAAGGTGTTAGTGGTCTCTTGCAGCCGTGATTTGGATCGTGAGGTTACCCGTCTATATTACGTTACAACCCAAATGTGTGACGATTTCCAGATTCGTGACGAAACCGAATGCGTGACAACCCGAATGCGTCACAACCCGGATTTGTGACAACGCGATTGCGTGAGAACTCGAATGCGTGACAACCCGAATGCGTGATACCCCCTGTACTTTCAGCTTTAGAGAGATCATTAGTTAGCATTACAGAGCACACAAGCTGCTTCATAAGTTAACACCTTTACTTTTCTTTTGTTCTCACAGATGGTTCTTGTACCTTACGAGGAGTCCGTGTCCATCTTTCAAGGACCTGATGGCGAACAGCGCAAAAAGTTGTTTAACCGTTTTGACTGTCTGGATTATCATCTGTCAGCTTCAACGCCACGGCCAGTTCTACCAGATGTCTGCAAACAGCTCATCTTTGCCATGTCGTCAGTTATCTATGATGGCGGAAAGCGTAAGTTCTCATTTCGTTGTTGATTGGTACTGTGAGAATGTTTTCGTCCAACTAGAAATTTTTCTGCCGCTCTCCCGATCTTCATAGAGTCCCAAAATGGAACTGGAAAGGATTGAAATGAGAGAACGAGGGCAGGAGTGAGACGAAAGAAAACACGGAATGTTTTTCTACGTCTCTCCTCCCTCCCACATGTACCAACCCTAGATGGTGCTCGCTTCCTCAGAAAATACGCGCGCCTGGTCAAAATACGCCTGCACTACAAGATAACGTAACTCACGTTAGACTGTATTCAGTCTGTTTTTGTCACGGAAATTAAGGAGTATGTGGTATGGGGCGAGGGTTTTTTTCCTCGTTCGTGCCTTATTGTAAGTTTGTTCTGCCTTACAGCATGTGACTGTGATCCCACGGGCACGAGGCGGGACGTGAACGGGACGCTGATTTGTGACTCTGTTGGAGGTCAGTGTCAATGCAAGGAGAATGTGATGGGTCAGAGGTGTGACCGCTGTGCACCAGGATCGTACGGATTTGGATCGCAGGGCTGCAGTGGTAAGTAAAATAAAACAGGACGCAGTAAAAAAAAAACGCAATATAGACGCACCTGGATGGAGTGGAAACACAAAAGATACTCAGTGTTGTGGCACAAATGAATTTTTACAAAAATTGTTAAAATGATTCGAGTTGTGTAAATACACGTATACATTTTAGGAATTTTTTTAAGAAACTGGCTATATCAAAATTTAAGCAATATCTTGAGACTTTCTGCCCAAAATAGTCCACGTTTGAAGTATCCAATTTATAACATGCCCCGAGGCATGTTATAAATTAGCAATTGTAAATTTTGTTAAATTTCTATGTCTGCTAATTCCCATAAGAAACTTGGTACAAATATTAAATATTGAAGTTTGGCAGAAAGCCTCGACGATTTCTACAAACACTCGAGGGAATTTCTTTGACCTTTTTTAAATTTTTTTTTTCTCTTCAGCTTGTAACTGCGATAGAGTTGGCGCCTCGGATAATCTTTGTGATTTGCAGACAGGCGAGTGCTCCTGCAGAATCAAGGCAGGCGGACGGCAGTGCAACCTCTGTCCTCCCCGTAACTGGGATTTTCCGGCCTGTCGACCGTGCCGCTGCAACGGACATGACACGTCAAACTGTCATCCTAGGACTGGCGTGTGTCTAGACTGTCAACACAACACGGCGGGCAAAAACTGCGAAGTCTGTGCCACTGGTTACTATGGTGATGCGACAGTTGGTGAGTGTTTAGAAACGAGGGCTCATCCACTGTACTTGCCTCGTTTTGAAGTTGTTTTTTCTTGGGATCCATATTGAGCCCATGCCTCGTGGACTGCAAGTAGTCTTTATTTTTATCTCAAAACTGAGCTACATTTACGCATAGCGAGCAGCTTTCCGACGAAGAAAATAGAAACCACTCGACCACTGGCAGTTTGTAGTAAAAAGAAATCTGTTTTCCTACGTATTCAGTTGCTCGCCATACCCTTTGCCACCAACACCTATCATTTCTATCATTTTTGTCGCCTTAAGCATTAAGGACAATTGTGTTGCTTTTCACAGGGACGCCAAACGATTGCCGACGCTGCCAGTGCCCCGGCGGTAGCAGTGGAAACCAGTTTAGTATCACCTGTCGATTAAGTGGAGCGGGATCTTCCATCTGTGACGCCTGCGAAGTAAGTAGAGTATATCTTAGGAACTAATTCATACTTACTAAGTCACGCAATGATAAAGGGTCTTTTATCCACACTAGTGTCAGTAGTGTATCCCAGGGCCGGGTTGTTCAAAGCTCGGTTAAGCTAACCCGGGATTAGCCATAATTTTGATTTCAGCGTTGTAACTTTTCGGTGAGGTTTTCTGTTTATATAGTTTGTCCCTCAGTTTTAAGTTTAAATAATCTCAAACTACATAAAACATAAGCGGTGAAAAACGTTTGTAATAGGAGAAAAAAATAATTCTTCGGTGAACTTTTAATTTTGGGTTAGCGTTAACCGGCTTTCGAACAACCCGGCCCCGATGACTAGACCGCTTGATTTCACATGAAGTGATAACCACTTAATTTATAAGCTTTGATTCCAGAACTGGTTTATGAGATGTGGATCACTTTCTAGGCTTATGTGGAAGGGGGGGGGGNGTGTAAGGAAATTGGAGGGGATTTGAGGGACAATTATTAATTAGGCATCATTATACATGTACATGTGTCTTCCAGGTCGGTTACAATGGAACACAATGTGAAGAATGTGCCGACGGTTACTATGGAAACCCACTCGTCCCAGGCGGCCGCTGCCAGCCGTGCTCGTGTAACAACAACATTGATCCGGCAAATTTCGGCAACTGTGATACACTTACTGGAAGATGTCTTGCTTGTTTGTACAATACCGCAGGCTTTAGCTGCGAGCGCTGTAAATCGGGTTACTATGGTGACGCCATTGCTAGGAATTGCACAGGTGAACGAGCTGCTGCTAACATTTTTGTCCTTGAATGACATCCTAGTGTACAAATGAAAGCCACTAAGCGGTACTTTCATGTAGTACTGTTTATTATGCTGTACAAGGTGGTTCTAACTTTCAAGTCTGTTGATAAAACCTTGGTGTGTGACCATTCAAAAGAAAGATATTGAGCAGTACTTTCATGTGGCACTGTTTATTATGCTGTACAAGGTGGTTCTTACTTTTAAGTCTGTGGATGAAACCCTAGTGTGTGACAATTTCAATAAAATTGTTAAGCAGTACTATCATGTGGCGCTGTACATGTTCAAGGAGTTAGCTGTTTATTGCCAGACAGATCTAAATTCTACGTCTATGAATAAGTCTATATTAATTTGAGCTCGGGATTTAGTAGCGTTGATAATTAATTCACAGATTTTGAAAACTGTTTCTTTTGCTTGCTACAGAATGCGTTTGCAACAGCAATGGCACGGATCCCGGTCTTATTGACACGTGTAATCACGAGACAGGCCAGTGCAAGTGTCTCCCAAACGTCATCGGGACTCAGTGCGACAAGTGCGCCGACGGGTTTTGGAACCTGGGCAGCGGGGAAGGCTGTAAGAAGTGTGACTGTTGTGGAGAGGGCTCGACTCAAGCCACCTGTAGTGAGGTAAACAGTAAGAAAACAACCTAGACCGTAAAAGAGTTAGTGTTTCATCTTGATACTTGTCAATACGTGACGCGCGAATAACTCGCGCGGAAAACTTGCGAGCTCGCAGCCTTGCCCCGATCCCACTCGTAAAGTTACTGTCGTCCTGAACCTTTCTTGGAGTCGATTTCGGTTTTGTAGACCTTAAAAAGCGCTTTTGTCTCGTCCTTTACTTTCTTGATAAGAGGACGACCTATAAAGCTTTCTTATCCTCGGTATGAACGTACCAGTTGCGATGAACCCTTCATGTACCCCTACTAGTTTTCCTGTCGTAATACACATGTGAGCATGTTTTACCGCTCAATGATTTCTCTGTACACCCTTAGGATGGTGGTCAGTGTAAATGCAAACCTGGATATGGAGGCTCCCGTTGCTGTGACTGTGAGAACGGCTACTGGGGAACACCGCTGGCAAATTGCAAACGTAAGTAGAGAACTCTTCGGTACAAGTGCCCTCCCCTTACCCCAACTCCTCCACGGCTACTTCACTCTCAGCCAGGTCCTTCTCGGTGGGACCCTTCCAGCCGGAGCTTGTTCACAGGCTAGGGTACGTTCAGTAACCTTGAGAAGTTACATTACCGAAACACAATTCAGGGCAACAATTGTTGTTTCCTTCGGCGATTTTTTGATGCCAACATATTTATACCTAGTAACATTTTAAAGGTCTTTGGTTGTTGTTGTTGTTGCTGTCGTTGTTATCAGTGCTACTGATGTTGTTGGGACAGATTTTACATTCTAGAGTTGCTATTGGTCCGAGCTGTCCTGGTCAAATTATTATTTCTTATTTGTAAATAATTTTAATTTGTTGTTGTTGTTGTTGTTGTTGTTTTTGTTGTTGTTGTGTCCCCAATTAGTTGTGAAAACTAAATACATTGACACACGAATAAAGCTTTTACTTTTTTACTTTACATTCCGTTTGAAGATTAGCCCCGCCTCGAAACTTCTAAAATGAAAATGAGCTTATCGTCTGAAATGCTTGTTAAGTTTGTGTTTACCCTCTTTTGGCAGGCTTTGTTTTGAGACTAAGGCAATAGGCACCGCCGTATTGACGTAGCGTATTACTCTCTTAGTGCACGATCAAGTGGTTATCAAAAACATAACTTCAAGATTTACTTCTGCCATTTATACTTTCAGCGTGCGACTGCAATCTGGCAGGATCCGAGTCTCTCCAGTGTGACCGTGACACAGGAAAATGCCAGTGTAAACAGGGCATGATTGGAGACAAGTGTGACCAGTGTGACGCCGACACAGCCGGCAAGATGCCGCAATGCGAAGTCTGCGGTGGCTGTTATTACCAATGGAAAGTCACGTTAGACTCCCTGTCACGCAACATTAGCGTTGAGATTTCAAGGGCTTATAACATCTCCCTTACACCCAACCAGCCAGGTATTGTAAGCATTCTACTTCAAAGCAGCATTATATTAAGATTAACGCACACCGAAACAAACTAACAGGGATTGTTAAAGGAGCTCAGTCACGGTATTTTAAGGCATTTTGGCCGCGTATAAAATAACCTGAAATCGAAGGGAACCTGAAAGTAGTAGTTTACTAAGATAGCAAAACACCAAAGCGATAGTGATAAACCGGAGAGGAACAAGGATGGTTAAGGATGGAGAAGATAAGAGACCTTTAGATCCACGTTTACCGCAAACGTCAAACT